CGCCGACATTGCCGCCAAAATCGCAGCAGAAATCGCCGCCGAAATCGCAGCCGAAAAGCTGCCGGAAGTAGATTGCGAAGTCCGCCGAGATGGCCGCCGAAAATTGCCGCCGAAATTCAACCACCGATATGTGCACTGCCCTGTCCCAAGCGAAAACGTGCATTACTCGTGCGCGATGACGCCGCGGACACAACCATAGAGCCAAAACCAAGATCAAGGTCGGCCCCTGTTTCGGCGGCACAATGCGGAATTTCAGCGGCAATTTCGGCTGCAATGTCCGGCGGCGTTTCGGGTGCGATTTCGGCAGCAACTTCGACGGCGATTCCGGCGGCGATTTCGGTGGCAATTTCGGCAGCGATTTCGGCAGCGCTTTCGGTTGTCTTTTCGGCGGCCCAGTCGGCGGCGTTGCTTATGACAACCGTCGGCAATGATTGTTTGGAACTTTCGGCATTCGGCGGATCGGGTGGACCCCGACAGGGCCCGCGAAGGGCCTCGCCAGAACGCGTCTACGAAGTAGTGCAAGCCACGCGTGATTGGCACGCGATAGCATGCGCAACGCGCCAAATGAACGCCGCGTGTGCTGCGAAGTTGAGAAGTTAAGCGCGTTGAAAATGCGCAGGAAACCGGCGCGCGGCAGGGCGTGCCCGCTCGCCGGAAGAAAACCGATATCGTTTGGAATGGATTTCGGCGCGCGCCCCTTGTCGTCTCCAAAGGAAGAGCCACTACTACAAGTAAGCCGATGGCTTGGTTCCGTTCAGCGAAGAAACGTTGACGCAGTAGTAACCGCCATGTTACTAGTCCACCTAGCTGCGTCATGGAATACCAATACATCGGCGCTACGAAAGTTTTGGCCCGTTTTGTGTTTTCAGCGAAACAGCGCCCGAGCATCGCACCATTTTGCAGGAAGTCCTGCGCCGGGGCGCCATGTCGAAATCGAAGCAGAAAGGTTTCGAATTCTATGTTCGCGGAAATCCTAGGCGGGGGCGCCATTTCGAAATGCAGCCCGGAAAGGTTTCGAATTCTATGTGTGCGGAAGTCCTAGGCGGGAGCGCCATTTCGAAATCGAGCCCGAAAGTATCGAAATCGCTCGAAGCCGTTATTTCGAAGGCGTATCGAGCGAAAGCGCCGTTTAGAAATGGCCACGCCGTTTGGCCTTTAAAATGTTCAAAAACCCTGGCCCGAAAACTCGAATACGCAGCTTTCGCTTAGGACTTCTTCCCCAAAACGGGCTCGACTGGATTTCGAAACCCTCGGGCTCGAATTCGACATGTGGCTTTCGCCTAGGACTTCTTTCCGAAACGAGCTCGGCTGGATTTCGAAACCCGCGGGCTCGATTTCGACAGGGCGGTGCCCCCCGAGACTGGAGCGAAAATGCTTCAACCGAACATTGCACTGGGGCCACTCGGCCTACCGGGCCCACTGCCAACGTTGTACTGGGGCTTCGTCGCCTACCCGGAGGCGTTGTATTTTGGCAGAACTTTCGTAGCGGCGAAGTGGAACTTCAAACCACAGATGGTTGTTTTGCACGCTGCGCTGCGCCATCGGCGACGTGTAAGATGCCCATCGGCGCTACAAACCACATATGGTTGCTTTGCACGCTGCGCTGCGCCATCGGCGACGTGTAAGATGCCCAGTGGAACTTCAAACCACATAAGGTTGCTTTGCACGCTGCGCTGCGCCATCGGCGACGCGTGAGATGCCCGTCGGCGCTACTAAGCACATGTGGTTGCTTTGCACGCAGCGCTGCGCCATCGGCGACGTGTAAGATGCCCATCGGCGCTGCGAAAGTTTTGACCCGTTTTGTGTTTTCAGCGAAACAGCGCCTGAGCATCGCACAATTTTGCAGGAAGTCCTGCGCGGGAGCGCCATTTCGAAATCGAAGCAGAAAAGTTTCAAATTCTATGTTTGCGGAAATCCTATGCGGGAGCGCCATTTCGAAATCCAGCCCGAAAGGTTTCGAATTCTATGTGTGCGGAAATCCTAGGCGGGAGCGCCATTTCGAAATCAAACCGAAAGTTTCGAAATCGTTCGAAATCGTTGTTTCGAAGAAGTATCGAGCGAAACCGCCGTTTCGAAATGGCCACGCCGTTTGGCATTTGAAATTTCCAATGCCCTGACCCGACAACTAGAAAATGCAGCTATCGCTTAGGACTTCTTCCCCAAAACGGGCTCGACTGGATTTCGAAACCCTCGGGCTCGATTTCGAAATGTGGCTTTCGCCTAGGACTTCCTCCCCAAAACGAGCTCGGCTGGATTTCGAAACCCGCGGGCTCGATTTCGAAAGGGCGGCGCCGCCCGAGACTGGAGCGAAAAATGCTTCAACCGAACATTGTACTGGGGCCCCTCGGCCTAACGGGCCCACTGCCAACGTTGTATTGGGGCTTCGTCGCCTACCGGGAGGCGTAGTATTTTGGCAGAACTCTCGTAGCGGCGAAGTGGAACTTCAAACCACAAATGGTTGCTTTGCACGCTGCGCTGCGCCATCGGCGACGTGTAAGATGCCCATCGGCGCTACAAACCACATATGGTTGCTTTGCACGCTGTGTTGCGCCACCGGCGACGTGTAAGATGCCCAGTGGAACTTCAAACCACATATGGTTGCTTTGGACGCCGCGCTGCGCCATCGGCGACGTGTAAGATGCCCATCGGCGCTACAAACCACATATGGTTGCTTTACACGCTGCGCTGCGCCATCGGCGACGTGTAAGATGCCCAGTGGAACTTCAAACCACATATGGTTGCTTTGCACGCTGCGTTGCGCCATCGGCGACGTGTAAGATGCCCATCGGCGCTACAAACCAGATATGGTTGCTTTGCACGCTGCGCTGCGCCATCGGCGACGTGTAAGATGCCCATCGGCACTTCAAACCACATATGGTTGCTTTGCACGCTGCGCTGCGCCATCGGCGACGTGTAAGATGCCCATCGGCGCTACAAACCACATATGGTTGCTTTGCACGCTGCGCTGCGCCATCGGCGACGTGTAAGATGCCCAGTATGGGAGTCGGAGCCGGCCACACAGTAGTGAGGCCAGCCCCGATACCAAGTCGAACGCAATGTGGGAAGCTGAACCATATACTACGCGTGAGGCGATCCCATGCCCCAACCAGTTTGGAAATATGAGCGTGCAGATGAAAGATAGGACATGGGATGGAAGGTGTCAGAGGGATAATGCAAAAAAAATGTTTCCGTTTGTCGCAAGCGATGGTAGACAGCAACATGTCTGAGCATATTTTGCTGGGCGCCGCTTGAACCAAACGGCAGCGTTTGAACGTTCGCTTTGAGCGCGTCTCAACTCCGTATCAAGTTGCTGCAACTGCAGAGAGAGAGAGAGAAGAGACAAACAGAGAGAGAGAGAGAGAAGGGCGTGGAGGCCCAGGAGTGGAAGGATTGAGTGGGCCAAAAGGCGCGCGCAAGACGCGTGGGCGGAGAGGCATCATGTCTGTATCTGGGGTAAGCCTTTACCAGAACTCACAAAAGGGTGGCGCTGGCGAGCACGACGACGTCGGCGATCCATCCTCCTCCTCCTACTCCTCCTCCTCCTCTTCCTCCTCCTCCTCCTTATCATCATCCAAAAACCTTACACAAATAACACACATCCAGAAATCTCGTCCCGCGATCCTTGACCCTGGGGGTGGGGAGAAACAACATCAATGACGCGCCGAAATGAGGAACTCATTAGCGCAACCGGCAACGTGCAGCGAAGCACTGTGTGGAGTGCCCACCGGCGATGTTGACTCTTCCGCCCTCAATCCTACAGATGTTTGAAGGGCCCACAGCCGCGAGTTCGGGGCACTTCTCGGCACTCCTGGCCTCGCTCGGGCGCTCCTTAAACTTCCCGCATGACTTCGTCAGGGCCAAGAGGGCCCCAACACGCGCCAAGAGGACCCGAAGAGGCCCACCCAAAGTAAAAGCGCTCCAAAATGCCCAAGATGGCTTCAAGACGTCCCTGGAGGCCCCCAAGACGTCCCAAGAGGGTTCCGAGAGTCTCCCAAAGAGGGCCCCAAGATGCTAAAGTACGTTAAATCGGCTTAAGTGGTGTTCGGACTTGGTCGTTCTCGCTTATTCTTGCTTTCGACCGACCAAGGCGGCCTTATCGCCACAAGACGGCCCCAAAGACCTAAGCCCTCAAAAAACCCAAGACGGTCCAAGAGGGCGCCAAGACGGCCCAAGGGGCTCTCAAGAGACAGCCCCAGAGGGCACCAGGAGGGGCCCCTGCGGGCGAACACGAACACACATTTCGAGCCTTCCGCCCCAGGATGGCCCCCGAGACCGTCCGCAGGCCCACAAGTGGCCCCCCAAAAGCCCAGCCCTCATTAGGCCAGCATCAGACCCCGGGACCCCCCCCCGGCGGCCCCAAGCCACCTCCAAAACCGCCTCGAGAATGCGTCTGGTGGCACTCCCAAGAACTCCCCACAGGCATCCAAGCCTCTGACCTACAAGCTGGGAGTAGCCTCGGAATGGACCTAAGGCGATTCGATTACTGTGGAAGAAACCCCCGGTCTTCGAACATAAACGAAGGAACAATACGCTGAAGGGCTTCCAACGGCGGCGTGTCATTGACTCTGTTTCCCTTCCGAGACCCTCCCCCTTCCTCGTCCACCCTCCTCCTCCTCCCCCTCCTCCTCCTCCCCCTCCCCATCCTCCTCCTCCTCTTCCTCGAACCGACCGACATTGGTCCTCCTCACCATCCGCACCATTCCCCATGGATCCTCGTCCTTCGTCCTCGATCTCCCTGCTTCCTCATCGATCCTCCTCCTCCTCGAACCTTCCCTTGGCATAAAGGAAGCGGGTCATGAAAGAGATGGGACCTGGATCCTGGGGGCTTCCCCGGGACCATGTCCATCCTTCTGCTGACGGCCCCAGGGCCCTGGGAGGAGCCCAAGAACACGAAAACGGCGCAAAACCTCCAGGACCCGTGTCCCTCAAGACCCGTTTGCTTCATGGTAGCTCAATCTCCTCCTTGAAGCTTCGCCCTGGTGGCCCCACCACCCTGGGGCCTGCTGGCTTGCCCGCGCCCACGTGCAGGAAGCGCGAGGCGCCAGGGCCCTGTTGCTCCTGGCGCTGGGCGGCTTCGCTGTCGTCGGAAAGAGGAGGCGGGGAACAAATGACTATAACGACCCCCCTTCCTCTCTCGGTCTCCACGCGTTGTGAGAAAAAAACGCGCCTGCGTTCATTTTGCAGTTATCGGCCTCTGGAGACCCTTGCTGGTCCCCAGGACCTTCCAAAAGACGACTCAGGGTGAAAACCTGGTCCTCTGAAGGGGTCCAGAACCCTGGGGAGTAACGCTGTGAAACAACGACGACGTCGTACCGTCTGGGTCCTCCTTCTCCACGTCATCCTTGTCTCCCCCTCGCATCCCCCTCCTCCTCCTCTTCCTCCATTCCGTCCTCCTCCTCGTCTCCTCCTTATCTCCTCCTCCGCCTCCAACTTCCCCTCCTCCTCCTCATCCTCCTCCTCCTCCATCTCGTCCTCGTCATCCCTCGTCCTCGTCCTCCCTCTTCTTCCCTCCCTCTCCTGCTCGCCTCCTCATTATCCATCTCGCCATGCTTCCGCGCGCGCCCTCCCTCTTCCGCCCCCCTCGCGGCGCGCGCTCCCGCGCCGCGCGGAAGGGCAGGAAGGCGGCGGGGCAAGGGAAAGAAAGGGCGGGGGGTGGGGGGGGCAGATGGAGAGGAATGGGAAACGGAGGGGGCCATGTCCTGGTTCTGTGCTGGCGCTGGTCATGGTCTCCCTGGAGACCCTCAGCTCGAACAAGGCCAGTGCTAATCGTAGCAACTTTTTCTTGTGGGTTCGTGGTCGACTGGGAGGGGGGCGGCGAGGGCGGGAAGCACGGCCCCGAGCGTGGAGCCGAGAGGCTGGCCCGCCGAGGCCAAGCGCACGACCGCGCGGAGCCACGTCCCCACGAGAGCCCAGAGGAGCGCCAGGGGGCATTCTGGAGGGCATTTTGCACCCCATGGGGGGGGGGGAGGGGGGGCGGAGCGAGGCCACGGGCGACAAGCTGCGCGCTGGCCGTTGAAAGACAGAAAACGGAGGGCCACAGGGGCGCGCCAAAGTGCACGCCGCCCCTGGCACGCACCGCCGCCGAGGTGTCCAACGGCGCAGCAATGACACGATTCGGAGATCCCCCGAGGCCCCCCCGCACCCGAGGCCTCCCAAAAACATGGGACAACAGGCACCCCGGGGCCTTCAAGGACCGCCGCGGCCTCGCCTGTCGCCGTGCCTGGCCAGCCCACGGGCCTCGGCCGGGCCCCCCAGATCGGAAAACCTCGATAACAAATACCCGGCTGCACTGCGCAAGCAATTTGTCTGGATGCCTTTTCATCTGGAGGTGCAGGTTCCACTTCCTGAGCGGAAGCTGCGGATCCTCTTGTTCCTCCCCCCTTGGCGCGCGAGCCGCACCGGACGCCAGCGGCGCACTCTCCCTGGGCGTCGCACCCGGATGCGCTCCTCGTCACTATTCTTCCCTACTTCTTGCGATGGGCAAACAATTAGCGGAGCTCGTAGCGTCGTGTCGCATGAATTTTATGGGTCAGCGAACAAACCCATGAGATAATCAAGCGCAACTCAAAAAAGGTGAGACTGAGTGCCAGAAGGTGAGAAAAGAGACGAAGGAAACGCAAAAAGCAGAGGCTCACAAGTGAACTTAGCCAGGATGACCTGACGGAGTAGGCACACGCAAGGCAACCCTCACCCACTACCAACTCATCTACCCCAAACCCCTTTTTCCCAGGTCGAGACCCTCAAAAAAAATGGTGTGTAAATATGTTGGCAGTGCTCCTCCCACCTCCACATGTTCCCCCACCTCCTTTATGATGATGCATGTGAAAACGTTCATCGAAAATGGCAGAGCCAATGTAACGATGAAAGATGTCCGTGTCTTGCGCAGCGCTAGTGCTTCTCTCACAGACGGGCCTGTGTAAAAATGCCCGTGAGTGCGCCAGCCCTGACGGTCAAGTTTCAATTCTCCTCCTCAAACTCCGCCTCTCCTCTTTCTCCTCCGCAGTGGCACGGTTCGAAAAATGCGGCGTCAACCGCTACTCTTGATCGAGAGTGCAATGCGAACGGTAAGATCACTGGCTACGTGCTTGAAACTTAGCTCTGGCGGTCAACATGCTCCCAGCGGTCGACACGCACGTCCTCCTCCACTTCCGTATCCATCCACCAACTTTCGTCACACATCCTCGAACCAATTTAAACTCATGTGTTAGCTGCCGCTGCGAGTGTTTTTGTGTCCAGCACAACTGTTGGAGAGGATGGGATGGGGGGGGGAAGAGAGACGCGGACGGCCGATGACCAATGCTCCAATTGACTCCCGGCGTTGCAGTGCCAGGCTCCTGTCAAAAAAAAAAAAAAAAAAAAAAAAAAAGCGGCCACTCTGCGGCCAGCAGCGAATCGCGCATGGTGGAACCACCATACCGAAAAACTCTGAGTTTGACAATGGATTCCAAGGACCCGCAAATGCGTCGACCAGATCACTCCCACAGGCCATGCTGCGCCACTACATGTCAAAAAAACTCGCGCGTGCGTACCCCTTACCGGCGATGAGGGCGGGACTCGCACATGTGCCCAACGCGAAGTGGGGAGAGGCCAGACGAGAAGAAGCGGGAGGAAGAGGAGAGAAGCCAGCGGACAATTGTAAACTAAAACTCGTGCGTGCGTAGGCCAATCACGGTCAATGCCGAAGAATCGGGCGCGGCCAAACCGACCCCTAGCAAGCCATGCCCTTGCGTAGCGAGTTTTGCGCTTTCGAAGTCAATGCGGTCCGCGCGTGCGTTGGCTGCAGACTCGAGCAAAACAAATTGCCCACGCGCGAAGCGCTCTCGGGGCACGACCGGCGCCGCCCCAAAGGAATTCGCAAACAGAAGTCATGAAATTCAGCAAGTGCGCCGCGCAGCTTCCTCGATCGAGTCGGAATGCGTGCTTGTTTGGCGGAGTTGGCGAAGGAGCATTGGGGGCATCGCTGCCATTCTTGCGCGTGCGTCTATAATGTTTTCAAATGCGGCACAATCGCATCTGCATCTTGGGGCGCGAGCGGCTTCGCAACTAGAGGAAACATATGATTGCCCGCTGACACTTTTCGGCGCTACTGTTGACTCGATCATCTTAGCAACTCGCGTGCGTTTTGCGTTTGTCTCAGAATCAATGCTCGACAGTGGCCCCTCGCGGAAATTGCAGGGATTCGACAACAACTCGCCGTCGATTTCGGCTGACGCCCGGGGCCCCGCTTTCCTAGCTTACCGAGAATGTTAGGATATGCGGGGGTTGCCAGACGATTGATGCTGGCGGTCGGACTCCGGAGCTCGCGGTTTCCCTCGAACGAGCTGGGCGAGGCCCCCCCCCCCCCCGAAGCCGCAACGAGGCCCCGAAAGAAAAGTCTTCTGAGGCCCCCAAAAGAGCTCCGAGAGGGCTCCAAGCCGACCCCCAGTGGGCCCCAGGTCAAGGTGCACGGTGCATCATGCAACCGCAATGGCATGGCGGGGGACGTTCTTGCTGAGCACGACGCCGCGCCGTGGGGCAAACGGCAACGCGTGCCACATCGAGGAAAACCTTACCCTCTTGCTTCAAGGGAGCACGCGGAAACAATACGACGTAAAAGTGTGCATGCAAATGTCGCTTGCAGGAGCCTCCTTGGGACTCTCTCGGGGTTCTCTCGGGGCATCCTCGGGGCTTCAGGACAGCCCCAGCGCGGCCCAAGACGGCCCTAAGAGGGCACCGGCGTGGCCCACGCAACGGCCCAAACTCATGTTGCACCATGCATCCTGATGCGGGCCCTCCAAACATGTATTTGGACCCCTTCTGATGGGTGCCCTCTGGGGCGTTCTTCGGGGCCCTCAACGGGTTCGAGGGGGCTGCGGGTGGGCCCTGGGGAGACCCCCAGGGGGGCTCCAGGAGGGCCCCGGATGGATCCCCAGATGGCCCAGAGCCAAAAAGCATTTTGAATATTGGATTTGGGCCCTCGTGGGGGGTAACTAGATTGTATTAAAGCCGTATTAGCGAGTTCTCGGCGACACGGGCCCCCTCCGGCTTCGGGCGGGTTTCAGGGGGTCCCGGAGAATGCCCCCACGGGGTATCAAGTGGACCCCGAGACATTCCTGAATCAGGATGCAGCGCGCGTCCTAACTTTGGATTTTCTCGGGGTCCAAGCGGGGCTCTCCCGAGGTCCTCTTGCGGGCCTCACGGGGCGCACTTGAGGCTCCCTTGGGCCCTCAGGCAGGCTTCCAGAAATTGTTGGCGCTCCGCACATCCCCACCAGCCCGTCCAAAAAATCACCAGGCGACTTGCCCTGATCATCAGGGGGGGCGACGAGGGCGAAGGGATGAGCCAGGAGGGAGGGGTGATATACAATAGCAGTCGAATACGAGAGTGGTCATGGACAGCAGTGTTCATATACGCAAGTGGAGGCCCTCCGAGATCGCATTGGAAGGCCTGGAGGGCCCCGAGAGGGCCCCCCCGAGGGCCCCGACCAAGAAACCTCCGGGGGGGGGTCGTCGCGGTAGCCTCCGGTTTGGGCGCCCCCTCGCCACGGAAGCCCCCGGTTTAGGTTGCGCCCGGGGCCCCCCCGAGCTCGTCGCGGAAGCCTCCGGTTTAGGCACAAGTCGGGAAACAAAACAGACGGGCGGGGGTCCCGGGGGGGGTCGTCACGGAAGCCTCCGGTTCGGGGCGCGCCCAAATGATGCCCTACCGCGACGAGCTCCGGGTCCACACTCTCGAAATTTTCATTCGGGGATCCGCCCCGGGCGAGCCCCAAAAGCCAGTCGCGCGGCCCCCGCAAGCCGCGCGAGTGCAGCTTGGGCCTCGCTGGGGGGGCGGAGGGCAAGGTTTTGTCGCAGGTGCCGCGGGAGTCCAGGCCGGCTGGTCTTTCCGGATCTTCCCCCCGTTACTCCGCCGCCATCCTCTCCTCCTTCCTTACTCCTTCGTGTCTCCCCCTCCCTCGCCGTCCCCTCGCCACTCTTCCCTTGCTCTTCACTTTGGCCTCTCGCCATCTCATTATGTCCACTTCTCCGCTGTCCTCACAACATCCCCACCTTCTCTGTCTCTCCTCCTTGCCCTCTTTTCCTCCCCCCGCTTTCCTCGCTTTTCCTCGCCCCTTCCCTCCCTAGTGCCCCTTCCCTCCCATCCCTCCCCCCTCGCATTAGCTCCCCTCGCCCGCATCGCCATTGTCCTCGTTTCTTGCTCTCCTTCCCTGCCTCCGACATTCCTTCCCTCCCCCGCTCCCCCCGTATCTCTCCTACCTCCTCTGGCTCCCCTCCCGCGCCCCCCTTCCTGTGTGCGTCTTTCGCCCTGTCTCCCTCCCCCCCCTTCTCTCCCCTCCCCCCTCCCCCCATCCCTCCCCCCTCCCTCCCTTAGTTCCCTCGCCTGGCGACGCGCTGCACAATGCGCTCCGCCGCGAGGGCGAGCTGCGCCAGGGGTCGAGGAGGAGGGGGGCGGAGGAGGGGGAAGTTGAGAGAGGGTGGGGAGGGGGAGGACGAACGGGGGCGGCAGGGGAGGGAAGGATCTATAAAATATGTGGACGGGATATCAAGCGGAAATGGAGGGATGTGGGTTGCACGTGTGGTTTGTGCGGCATGTGCTGGCATGTTGCACCCAGGCATACGATTGGTTCCCAGTATTTGCAACTCATTGCCTCAATATGTGCAACGTACTGTGTTGCGTCTGTGGGGATGCGTGGCCAATGCCTTGAAACGTCCGCAGTCTTTCATGGGGCGCGTGAGCCTGGTCGTGCAGCACGTGCGTACTCCTGCGCCTGGCTCGGCACCGGAGCCATACTTGCCAACGCAGACATGGGCGCTCTGTGATAGAGCCAAGCGTGGATCCTATGATATGTCTGTTTGTGCACTTTCGAGGCTCCTGATATGTAGCGGGCACGCGTTGTCAAAACCCCTTCTACAGGAGGACCGTCTCTTTGGGCCATCATTGGCTCGATTCGCCATCCCTGCACGCGTATGCGTACGTCAGGGTGGGCGACGTTTCATTTGCTCGCCCATATACAAAAGGCGTGATGTTCCTTTGTCAAATTCCCGAAGTAGCGAAACGATGTATTTGTAATTCTGGTATCGTGAGTGTGCCGATCACTTTTGAGAAATCGTTCAGGGTTTGCCAGGTATGTTGTAAGACTGTTCAAACCCTGGCGGTCGTACTTCACCGCGCGCAAAGCATGCGACTGCTTCGTTGGGATATGTTCGTTTTGGGGGTGGTTGCGATTTTTCCTAGCCGCCCAGGTTCAGCGCGCGTTTCGGCTCACCGACACCATGTGCGCACCTCGGAGCTCTGATTCGCATTAAGAAAGAATTGCGCTACGCAGCGCAGGGCCGAGGCATAATATTTTGAATGATCAACGCCCGTGCCGGCGCAGACGCGTCGCTCTGGCCGGCCACCCTTGGTCGCGCCATTCGAAGGCAGCGCGTGGATTTCATGCGCCGTTGACGTTCCCCGATGACTGTCCGTGGGCCGTGCTCCTTATCTTGCGTCGTTCTCTCTGCCGGCCCGTCGTCGCGACTTCTGCCCGCGCTGGCGCTTTCGTTCGCGTTCGTCCCCGAAGCGCTTGACTGGTGCAGTGGTTTCCAAAACGTCTCGATTTAGCTGTCTCTCCGCATGCCCCTGGGACCGCGACCCGGTCTTGCGAGAGCGACGCTCTCAGGAAGGATATCATTCGCTCCCTGTGTTTGCGCACTTCCGCCTTCTTTGAAAAAAGGCATGGTTTGGTGGGGGTCGGTTTGGCCGCCCCTGAAAGAAGGTGCCCGCACGAAGGGCCCACAAGAGCAGCAGGCAGATGAGCTGGAATAAAGACGCCTCATGCCGAGGCAGAGGGGCTACGCAAATTGCGAGAGCGAGCGATGCTACAGGCAAATTGAAACATCAAATCAAGTCTGTTCAAAAAGAGTAAGGGAGGGAGGAGAGAGGAGCCAAGGAGGAGGCGAAGAGAGAAAGGGAAGGGAGGACTGCGCCACTACCATGGGGCAGCAGCTCGGGCCCGCTGGTGGCCAATCGCGGATTTCCGGGCAAGACGGTGCGAAACGCCTGGCAAATATACTTGGCGCGGCGCCGGCGCCGCCTGCGCGGAAGCGACGGGCCCGCGGGCGCATGGCTTGCGCAATCGGACGCCCCTTCTGCGCAGCGCCACCTGGGATGACAAACAACAGCATGCAAAACCTCATGCAAACTACCGCTCAGTAGAAACACCAGCGCTGCCCTCCGCGGACCAGGGAGCGGGGGGAGAGGCGAAGGGCGGAGGCGGCAGGGGATGAACGTCGCCCTCGACGAGCGCCTCGGCTGCATCACGGGCCCCCTGGCCGGCCCAATTGGACTACGCCACGGTTCAAACAGGGGGGAGGGGAGGAGGGCTGAGTTACACGAGGTGCCATCTGGAAGGGAACTGGGCGTCTCGGATCAAGTGTGTATGCGGCTGTTCCGCGCCCGTTGAAGTGGCAAACGCAACAAAAAACATCCCGTGATAAGGAATTGGCAGGTGGCGCGACAGCACCCAAGGCCAAAGGGAACTGGGCTGAATGTGCGCCCAAGCTGCAGAAGACTTCGGGCACCATCCTCAAGCGGTTCGACGCAATGGAAAAGGCTGCATCAAAGTAGGCCCTGATGTCAAACCTCCGGGGCGTACTGATGCTGAGAAAGGAAAGAAAACAAAGGAAATCAGAGAAAGGCTGTCTCACTGGCAGAAAACAGCTCGGTTTTATGCGCATGCGGTGAATCGGGCGCCGGCCGAAGCCCAAGTCGAGCGCCTGCAAAAAAATCTGCGCAGGAGGCTCAAAGTCGCCCAGTGGAACAGGAGACGCACAGTCATAGACCTCACCTCGTCCATCGCCTGGCCGACGATCAGCATGAAAGCCGATGGGTCTGGGCGCCGACCTGCAAGAGAAGTTTTCCGCCGACGAAATCGATTCCACGTCGTGTTCGTCGTCCGAGAGGTGGATGGGGGCGTCGGGTTGGTCGCCATTTGGTATGGAACCCTCTTCATCTCCTCCGTCTCGGCCGGGGCGCGCGGCGCCCTTTTGGTCTTCGGAGCACCAAGGCGAGGCTCGTCATCGAGTGAAAGGTTCCAGGAGATCTTGGAGAGAAGACGTCGGCTCGATTCCCCGACGTAGTCGGCAGGATGTTTATCAGGAACATCCACACTCATGCCTTGGGGCGGTTCTTCTGTAGGTCGTACACCATACATGGATAGTTAGATCAAAATTCCCTCATCTGGTAGAGCCACTTTCATCGAAGATCGAACTTCGGCTGGTAGCTAATCGTGTGTACATTCTTTGTTCATGCGGGATCGTTCTTGGCCCAGCTGATGCGCAAAATGTGATCATGTTCGTTTCGCGAGCGCTACTCTATGATTACTGTAGCAATCTCTGGCTCAAGTTCAACTTATCGATGGGCGATGTACTCCAAATCGCCACGGCAATATGAGTGTACAAGTGTCCGTTAAACTTTGGCTGACAAGATAAATGGGAAAGGGCCCGGCCGGCCAGGAGAGGGCGCCCGGGAGGGCGCGCGCGCGCGGCGGGTGGGACAATGTTTCGTCTCGAGCAAACACACACCTTCGGTCGCATAGCCGTGCGTCAGACATGGGCACGGGGGGGGACTGAATCGACTGAACCATTGGCCATTGGCGCGTTGCCCGCTCCTCTCCGCCGCCGCTGGGGGGCACCGCCTGCCCGACCTGGAAGAGGCGCCGCTGCTGGAAGCGGCGCTGTCGACTGGGCGCTGTTCACCGGGACCCCGCCCCTTGTCCTGCTCGTCGCCCTGGGCCTGCGCGCGCCGCCCCACGCTGCGGCGAGGCCGCGCGACCACCCGCAGCTCCCGCTGCTGCGCCGTCCCGCTGAGGCCGCGGGGCTCAGGCTGCTGGCCGTTGCCCTGGTCCGGCTGGGGCCGCCGCTCGCCAGTCACCTCGGCCTTCGACCCCAAGTCTTCGGCGCTGGGGCTGCTGGTGCTCCAGCGGCGATGCCTCGCAGCCACCCACGGGGGCGACAACGGGGGGCGGTTTCGGGGGAGGCGGGGGTGCTGGTCGACGCCACAGGGGACGGGGCGGTTTCCGAGGAGGCGGGGGTGCTGGTCGGTGCCACAAGAGAAGTTTGTTGCGCCGGCGCGATCAGGACAGACTCGTGTTGTTGCGCAGCGAGAGTGAGAGAGAGAGACGTACCATGTTTTGCCTGGGCGCTCGCTCGCGGGCCCGGCGCGCCGTCGACCGCGCGCGCAAGGATAGTTGAGCCAAAAATGGCTTGAGACAAAATGTATTAAGCCAAATTGTTAAGGATCTTTCCCTTCTCCTCCTGTTCCTGCTTCTGCTCCTGCTCCTCCTCCTCCTCCTCCTCCTCTTCCTAGTTTGTTTGTTGTCTGAAGTTCCTGGTTGTTCTCAGTATTCTTATTCGTATTAATCGTATGTTATTCGTCTTCCTCATATTATTATTACTACCATCCGTATCATTACGATTACTGTTAGTTATTCGTACTCGTATTCTTATCGTTATTTATCCTGCTCCTCCTCCTCCTCCTCCTCGCAGACCTCGTAAGCCTTTGGGCGGGCCTGGTCAATAACCGATCGGCCGAGGCCAGACACCAAGTGTTCGATCGTAAACAGAAGGCGGAGGCGAGAAAACAAGGAAACGGAAAGAAAGAAAAGAAGAAGGGGGACGGTTGGCCCAGTCCGAACTCAATCCCAACTTACACTCTTCCTCCCCGTCCCTCCCCCCCTTGCTCCTGAGGTCCCGTGAAAGGAGGCCTCTCAAATGGTATCCGACTAGATGGGTTCGGAGGATCGGCGACGTCGGGGGTGGAAAACATCGCGCTCCAAATCGAGCTGCACCATTGATGCATCGGCGATGCGTCGCGATCCTCCGATCCTATCTACTCCAGCCCCCTCATGGAGGTCTGGAGTGGGGCCCGCCGGTGCTCGGCGAGAGCCTCTCTCAGGCACGCGGTGGGCCCGCGCAAGCCCGTTCCGACCGACCCCACCACCCGCCCGCCTTGGCCGCTGGGCACCTCGGCAGACCAATCCGCGGGCCAGCGGGCTACCTCCGGCCGGGCGGCTCGTTCCTCTGTGGACTGCAACTCCACCACCCAGCCGTAGCGCAGACCTGACCAGGCAGGACGGGAGGGGGCGGGGGCGGAGCGGGGCGAGGTGGTCTTGCTCATGGACGGCGCACTCGTGGTGACCCTCGGGCAGGGCCGCCAGCTCAAGGCACCCGCATCGGTTCACTCCACGGTTTTACCATCAGGAAAATGGGAACTGAAAAGGGCGACCTGGAATTCAGACCGAGCTGTTTCTGAGATCGCCGCGTGGCATCGAGTGGCTGCGACCTTGATCGTGGCGCTTCGCAGCGCGTTTTCGGGGCGGCCTGGGGTGGCTGGCCAATGCTGCCGCAACCATGAATCCACGTGCGCGTCGGAGTCCCGACATCAACCCACCTCGTCAGTTACATGCTGGCTGGACATATACGCCACCGTGCCTCTGCGCACGGAGTGGGCGCGTCGTCAGGTCCATTGCCTAATCCTTGGGGCCTCACGCCTCAGTCCTAAGGAGTCTTTAGTGTGATATGGAAGGATCGCGGATCAAAGTTTTTCCTGCGCGGAACGCGGATGGCGTAGTTCTGAGGCCAGGGGCCCTCAACGTTTGAGAGAAACGATTGCAGGCTGAGCGGGCAAAAGAGACATGAGCGACTGTGCGGACGCCGTCGCGCTAAGCACCAACGGGCACACGAGAGGCGCCAGCATCTTTACCCAACTTAAGCCCAACAAGGCTAATATCATCAGGTTGTACTGGTCGTTTCCTCCTCCTCGTCCTCCTCCTCCTCCTCCACCTCCTCCTCCTGTTTTTCCTCCTCCTCGTCCTCCACCTCCTCCTCCTCCTCCTCCACCCTCTCCTCCCCCTCCTCATCCTCCTCCTCCTCTTCCTCCTCCTCCTCGTTTTCCTCGTCATCGTCGCCCTCCTCCCCCCCTTCCTCCTCCTCTTCCTCTTCCTCCTCCTCCTCCTCCTCCTCGTCCTCGTCCTCCTCCTCCTCCTCATTCTCCTCATTCTTCTCCTCCTCCTCCTCCTCCTCCTCGTCCTCCTCCTCCTCCTCCTCCTCCTCCTCCTGCTCCTCCTCCGTCATCGGGCCCGAGGCGAGTCAGCGCGCCAGGGGTCGATTTTGAAGGGCTGGCTCAAGCGAGAATCCTGCTGGACACGCCTGGCGCGTCCTAGTGCGCGCCCCGGAAATTGTTTTTGGGGAGCGTGGTGGGACCTAACCTACTCGCGCGCCTGGAGGCGATTTTGCGAGGATGTCTCGAGTGAGAGCACTGCTGGACACGCCGGGCGCGCCCCGGTGCGCCCCACGGGGCCCAGTGGGGCTGGCGACCCGCCGCGGTGCTTTCACCTGGCCCAGCCCGTCGCGGCCACCAGCAGAGCGAAGCCGACGACGAGGAGCTTGCGTCGGCACAAGCTCCTTCTTGCAGTGCTTGCACCATCGCCACCAGGCTTCATTCTTGCGGCAACCGCAGTGATGGCACTTGGCGCCTGGTGTGTCACTCTCACCACGTGGACGACTGCCTGCATGCTGCGCCTCGCGCCTCATGCATGAAGAACAGCGGCACCGCACCGTCGCGGCGCCCTCGCAGGGGGTGAGACGCGCGCGGGCCACAGCACGCTGTCGGCGAAGCAAGGGCCGTCGCGCCGACTGCGGCGCTTGGGGCTATTGCACCGCGGGCCCGCCCCGCCCCGCCCGCGCCCGCCGCGGCGGGGGCCGCACAGCCGCGCAGCGAAGCCACCGGAGAAGGAAAAAGAGGAAGAGGAGGAGTAGGAGGACCAGTGCAAACCCAAGAGTCATCCACGATGTTGGAATAAACCCTCTCCCTCCAAGATCGCTCGTCGTTGTCCCCTACAACGGACCATTTCCATTGAGGGAACTGCCTCTTTGGACGACAAGTGTCTGAAGACCCTGAAACATGCCAAAACATTGTTCTCGGGATTCCAACGCCACGGATCCACCTGACTGTTGCACTTTGACGATCCTGACTCGTGCCAAAACACCATTCTCGGGACTTCAACAGCGCGAACGAACGTAACTGCTGCACCCTGATAATCCTGAATCCTTCTTAAACACAATTTCTGGTATCTTGATCATGGGGATCGTGAACTGCTTGCAAGCTGGATTAACGAGTGTGCGCGGCGCTAAGGCGGGAACCACATTTTGAAAAGGAGCCGCCCTCAATCCGTGAAGCTCTTGAAACGAACGCGCGCGGCGCTAAAACGACATCCGCATTTTGAAAACGATTCGCCCTCAAGCCGTAAAACTCGTGCGACAAGTATGTGCGCGGCGTTAAAGCGATACCCACATTTTGAAAACAGCCCGCCCTCAATCCGTGAAGCTCTTGTTTTTTAAGCGAATGTGCGCGGCGCTAGGGCGATAATAACATTTTGAAAACGGCTCGCCCTCAATCTGTGAAACTCCTGTAAATGTATAAAACAAATGTACGCGGCGCTATGGCGAGAGCCACATGTTGAAAACAACCAGCCTTCCATCTGTGGAACTGTTGCAAATGTTGACGCTTCAGGGTCATAGATGGTGAGGAAGTCTCGGGCGAAACGCCCGGCCCGCCCTAAAAACTGGCCTCGGGGTGCGACAGGGGGAAATTAGGTATAAGGGAAAGGAATGGAGGAAGAGGAGGAGGAATAGGAGGAGGAGGAGGTAGGAAGCCGGAGAAAGGAGGCAGGAGGAGAACGCGGGGCGCTGTCTCTTCAAAACGAAGACTCAACACCACAGGATGGTCAGGAACAAATTCTGCCGACGTAGGAAACGTGGAGAGGACGAACAAATAATCCCAATGACGAGGACGACGCCCATGAGCAGGTATTGAACCCAACGCATTCATCGTCGCACAGGACGGCTGCTGCGTCACCCCCTCCTTCATGGCCAGTTCTGAACCGTCATCCTGCTACATTGGGGACAACAGCTTCCCCAGGGAGGCGGCTGGTCAGCTCTTCCCCCTGCCCCACCGCTCGCTCCATCTGCTCCCTTGTCCTGTTCCCGCCGCCCCCCCCCCCCCCCAGCGGCGTGGGGATCCGACCCCAAGGGAAAGGCCCCTCGACCCAAGGTTCGTCGTCGGCCGAGTCCTTCCGCGAGGGGGCGGCGCGCGCGCGCGACAGCGTGGGCGGCAATTTCTTCCTCCATCCCACACCCTCCCCGTCCTCACGATCAGCATCATCACCCCCAACATCATCCGCATCATCGGCATCATCGGCATCATCAGCCGCATCCTCAGCAACATCATCACCACCATCATTTGAATCCCCCCCCATCCCCATCATCACCACCATCATTACCGCAATGAGAGCTCCTCTGCTCTTCCCTCCAGCCCCTCCCCTCCCCTGCCCTTCCCTGCCCCTTGCCTACTTCTCCTCTATCCTCCCCTCTCCCTCCTTGTTTCAACACCGCTGGACATGGACATGCGGGAGAACGAGAAATGCAACACAACATACCACAAAAACACAAATAAACAAACAACATCAATCCCTCCTCCGCTCCACATCCCTCCCCACTTCCGTCCCTCATGCCTCCCCGCTCCCCTCCACCCCTTCCCTGTCCCTACCCCTCCCAACCTGCCTCCCCACCATCCCTAGCTGCACCGTCGATTACCACAGTCAGGAACACCGCGGGCGCCCCGCGACCACTTTGCATTTGTTGTTTTTGACCGGGACGGCGGGGGTGCCGTCATTTTTTCGCTGCGCGCAGGCCAACGATCACTGCCAAAAAACAATACAGAATGCAATGTGCCTCCACATCTGGAGCATGCGCGGGCGCCTCGCGACAACTCTGCAAGGTTTTTGACAGGGACGGCGGGGGTGCCCGCATATTGCTTAAACGCGGGGCACGTGCCACACCCAGCGCGCCTGGTTCGCTTGGGCCGCCAGGGTGCCTGGTGCATCTGGAACCCGTGGCGCACATAGCATGCGTGGCGCTCCTTAGCAATGTGCTGAGACCCCCTCGGGTGTCACTTATGAGTTGGGAGGGCGGGCGGGCGTGAGTGAGACGGCATGCGGGCGAAGGGGGGACCTCGATCACTTTTCCCTATTAGTATACACCCCTTTCCCCACCCGGCTGGCGGCCAACCCATGACAACCCCATGAGGGCCCCGCCCACCATCCCTGTCAATAAACAGTACCAAACGCACTGTGCCTCCACATTTGGAGCATGCGCGGCCGCCCCGCGACCATGTTAAGGACTGCTGGGGTGCCAGCAAATTCCCATCCGCCTAGTGGCGCAGGTGGGCGACCGACTGGTTTGACATATCAATGGTTGCTGCCTTTTCGCCGAACCGTTTCCGATGGGATTTCGAAACCTCCACATGACTCCATAATTGGCCAAGAAAGCTCAAACCTGGGCCCAAGACTTCCTATTGGTTCCCAGTGGCTGGCGCACCTGGCGCGGCTGGAGCACGTGAACCACTGGCCGCACGTGAAGCACGTGCCGCACCTGGCGCGCCTGGCACGCTTGGGCCGCCAGGGTCTGGGGCACATGTAACCCATGGCGTCTGCGGCGCTCTTACGCGATATGCTGGCTCCCGGGTGTTACGTATGTGTTGGGAGGGCGGGTGGGAGTGAACAAACCGGTTTGCCGGCGGGTGGGAAGCTTGACCCCTCCTCCCCCCTCTCCCCTGGGCCTACGGGGGTGGGGGGCGTGGGTAGTTTGAGCGCCCAAGGTGGCCCAAGATGGCTCAGGATATTTCAAGATGGCCCACAATAGCCTCCGAAACAGACACACACAAACACATCTAAGAGGTCGCAAAACGGCCCCAAGACGCTTCCAAATGCCCCTAGAATCCTCGAAAGACCACCCCATGACGCCAAAACCCTTCAAACACCTAGGGGAAATTACTGTGTTTCGCTTGCTCGCCTTTTCGCTTCCGATGGGCTCTTGAGGTTTCAAGATGGCCCCAAGACGGCCCAAGAGAGCTCCAAGAGGGGCCCAAGGTCGCCCAGAGAGGGCCCAAAAAGCGCCGTAGAGCGCCCCAAAAAGGCCTCAACACATACTGTTGAACCTCCGGGAGGGCAGAATGTGCCCCCCCCTCCCTCTTTCTGAGCCAAGGAGGCCCGAAACGGCCCCGAGAGCCCCCCCCCAACAAAAAAAACAAAGGGGCCCCAAACCCAAAAGGGCCCCGAAAGCGGCCCACGTGGCTCTGCCAGGACCCTAAGAGAGACCCAAGTCGGCTCCAAGAGACGAGTGTGCCGAACATCCAATGCGGATGTTTCGCTGCATGTTTCTACGCTTCCATGATCAAGGCATCTCGCCTGGCGATCTGTTTCTGGATGGGCAGGCGGGGGTGTTTTTTAGTTCTCGGGCGCGCGAAGCGAGTCGGGCGCCGAGCAGCCAGGGGCAGGTTGTGCCACCTGCGAAAACCAAAACAAGGAAAATAGCGTAGCCCGGCACGGAGCGGAACGCTCAGGGCGGCACGCCGAGGCGAGTGGAGCCCAGTGGGCGATGGCGAAGATGCAGAAGCAGCGCCGGGGCCGCGAAGCTGCCGAACGTGAAGACCGCGAAGAAAAGGAGCACCACGGAACCAGCGCGAGGCCGCGCACCGCCGGAAGGCCGAGCGGGCCCTGCCACAGTCGAGCGAACAGGCAGACGACGTGGAACATGTGGGAGAGATGGGAGCGAGTGCCACCCTTGCCTAAGAGGCAGGACTGGAAGGCGCACCCGCGGCGAGCACGACGGACGAGTAGGAACGCAGCCAACGTGGCGCGAGAGAGGGCACTGGCCCCGCGGCGGCCGGCGCGCGCGCACGCAGCGCGGGTAGAGGAGCCACTAGCCAGGAAGACCACGCGCCCCAGGCAACCGCACTGAACAGCAGGCCGCGCGAGGAGTAGAAGCGGGCGCCGCGCTTGCCCGGGGGCGAGGTGGCGACCAAACATGCCGCGCAGGTAGGACATCACGCCAAGCGACGCGACCAGCAGACCGAGCGCCCCGCGCGCGCGTACCTGGAAGCAGCGGGATGTCCCGCATGACAGGGTCGCGCAAGGGGGCGCCGCCCGCCAGGTAGCCCGAGGGCGAGGCGGCGAGTGGCCGCAATGAGGCCGGCGCCCGCAAGTGCGTTGCCATGGCGACCGCGACGCCTTGGGCGAAGGGGGCCACCGCCAGGGTCGAGGTTCGCTCGCCCGAGCCCAGCCGTCGCAAACCCTTGCGGCCATCGCGCGGAAAGAAAGGGTGACAGACGGGGAGCTGGCGCCGCACCAGCCAGCAGCCATATACACACACACACATATATACGTATATATATATATATATATATATGTGTGTGTGCAAAACAACTGATCATTGGGGGCAGCTGATGGCTGCAAACACTCGGAGAGCCTCGGCAGAGGAGCGCCCAGGGAAGAGCCGGCAGCTGATCGCTGCCAATTCTTCAAGGACCCCCACGGCGACGCCCTGCCACTGCGGGCGCGCACGCGAGGAGGAGAAGAGGAAGAGGCGAAGGCAGCTTCTCGCTGCAAACACCAGAAGATTCGCGCACCCAAGGTTGGACCCGGGAGGAAATCGCGGTGGAAAGTGACAGCTGCGCGTGGCTCCAGACGGTGTCTCTCTCGCCGGTGGCGGGTGCGTCCCAGCCGAGACTGCGCCTGCCTTGCTTGCCGCTGCGCGCCGCGGCGGCGTCGCGGCCCTGCCCCTTGCCTGGGCGCCCAGCGTTGCTCCAGTAATTCGTCGCGCGCTGCTGGCGTGCGCGCTCGAAGTTGGCGCAGGGCCTGCGCTGGTTGCTGAGAGAGTGGGCGTCGTCGTCGCCCTGTCGCCAGGCAGCCAGGAATCCTCGCAGGTGGCCCGTGACTGCACGCGCGGGCCCTTTCGGGCGAAACCTGGGCGAGTTGCGCATCGCTCGGCCCAACTGTGCCAGACCCTGTTGAAAGTGGCGTCGAGCTCGGATTGCATCCCCCTGGTGAACTCGCGGCTGCTTTCGGCCTCGCCTTGTGGCACCAAATGCGCGGGCGTCTTGAACATCTGACTGCCGTCGAGGGCGGGGCAGCCGGTTGGCGCGAGCGGGTTGGCCGCCGCTTCGCGCCAGTCCCCTCGCGCCTACCTACCAGCGGCATTGCTGCTTGGGACCGCGCGTGCCGCCTGGCCCTGCCCCCTGGATCCGCGCCCCCACGGCGTGTAACTTGACCAGCTGGATCCGCGCGCGCGCCCGTCATCTCGGATATTCCAGCTGGGGCCGTAGCTGGTCCACCTGCTACTGGGGGGGCTATGCGCGCGAAACGCGCTGCGGTGAGCCCGGCCATGAAAGGCCCCATGCGGGCCAGTCGGGCCCCTTCCCGCGCCCCTCCGCGAGCGTCCCTGGCCCCCTCTGCTGGGTCGCTGATGCCGATTGCGCCCCCCGGGAGTCGGGGGGGGAACACCGCTTCCGCGCGTCAGAAGTGTCGCGGCCGCTGCCGGCCGACGCATCGGCGCGGAGGGTGGCGGTGCGAAGAGGGGGCTCCGCGCAAGCCTCCTCGTCGGCAAGTGAGGGGGTGGGCTCCTCGTCTGCTGGGGGGCCCCTCCGGACTCGTCTGTGGCGCCTCGGTCTCCGCCCCCCCAATCCAGTCGAGCTGCTCATCTGGCTGCGTTGCGTGGTAGCCTGCGTTGGCGGCGGTGTCAGCGCCTGGCTCCACAGCCTGACCAGGCGCTACGTCTCCCCCGGGGAGATGAGAGAATTTGGAGCCCCCCTTGGTCGCCAGTCGATGTGTCCGTGGCCCCCCCCTCTCCCGCTCGGGCCTGGGCGCGGGGCGGGGGGCGGGCCGCCTGCGCCGGCGCGGCCGCGCCGGTCGATGCTGCCGGTCGCCTGCAGGGGCTGCTCGCGCGGCGCGCATTCCGATGCTGCGCGAGCCGGGCCACCTCGCCCGCCGCCAGCCCTAAGTCGAGCACTCGCGCGACGACGTCATCAGCGCCTGGAATCTGCGGCCCCGTCAACGGAAGCCCCGCGCGCGAAGGCCCCCGGACAGGGGGGCTAATCGGAGAGGTCATCCGGGCGGCTACGACGGCTGAAGGTAGCCACCCGGCGAGGGTCACTCCGGCGTTGGCCGCGCGGATTTCGGCGCGAAGTGCCTCGCAGATCTGGCCCGCCCAGGCGACGGAGGCGGCGCGCAGCCGGGCCGCGGTCTCAATGGTGCGCGCCAAATGCATGTCAGCGGGGCCAGAGAGCATGAAAATGTTGGGCCGTTCACTGAGCTCGGTCCAAGCACCGGGCAGTTCTCAGGCGAGCCACGTCGCGGAGTAGTCTACCGCACGACGTGGCCGACGCTGTCGCAAAGGCGACGCGTGGCGGGGGCAAATCTCAGCGCGGCGTGCTCGTGGCAGGTCAGCATCTCGTTCCCCAGAAGATCGACGGGGGGGGGGCAGGCGGACGGTCGCGGGGGCGCCCGTTGGTCTGCCACGGGGTTGCCAGACATACACATACCGGGCATTGCCCTGCCCGTGGCTTTCGGGGGAGCGATGACCCGCAGACGCCACATCTATTGTTCGGCTTGAACCTGCGCCCCATGTCGGGGCATAGCGCGCAACGTCGCCCCGAGGCCAGGCGCCGTCTGGATCGACCTGCTCGCCCGCCCGTACTGGGGTGATCCCGGGGGCCGGGGCGGAGCCTTCCGAAGTCGTCCGTCTAGGCTGTTGTGCTGCTCCCACCAGAGCAGAGGTGGCAGGGCGATTCACGGCGCGGGCGCTGACGGCGTCGAGAGGACTGTCAAGTGCCCAGCAGCGTTTTGCTGAGCGCAGCAGGTGCTCATGCCTCTCATGCCTGGGCCAGTGAATGACCGATTGTCTCTGCTCGTGAAGGAGGAGGCCCCGCATCCTGTGTGATAGTAGCAAGGGGCCGCGATGCGCACCTGGGCTGGCTGGAGCGCAAAATGGGCCGAGGGGCCTTCGGCGTTCGAGGGGCGGCTTCGAGGGCTGTTCCTGCGTCGACCGCCCATGCCGCAGTAGAGCGGCGCCTCCCGGTTCGCAAGGGCAAAGGAGCGGGGAGGGCTCGTGGTCGGGCGCGCGACTGGACATCGCACGTGCGTCGGGTGCACGTTCTGCCCAAGGTTGGCGGATGATCGCCGCAAATGTATCAAAATTCGGCGGGGACGTGGGGGGGGTCATTGCCTCCTGGCACACGACTCTCGATCATGCTACCTGAGTGGCTGCGGCCACCGTCGTCTCGTGTTTGTGGCGGCGGATTCACGGCCGCCCCTGGGTGGTCGTGATCAGCACGATCAGATGTCCGAGCCTCCGTGCAAGGGGCGTGAGCTGCCGATGTACGCCCGTCTCCTGAACTCGCTCCCAAGCGATCGCATGCGCTCCCGATGGGTCCGAGGTTCTGACTGTCCGCGGGCAGCGCAAAGGCTCTCAAACCTCACACTAACCCTTCGCATTCGTCCCCGACATCGGTTCCCAGGGCACTGTTGCGCGATCCGTATGTCTCATCCTCCATCCCCAGGTCGCCCAAGGCAGGGACGGGGCAAAGCCTGGGGAGGACGTGCAGCGGGCGGCTCGGGTGTCTATGGCACCCGGGGCGGCGTGGCCCGCCCGCGCGCACGGCGTATCCCGCCCGCGCGCCGCGTCTTGGCGCCCCCTCGCGCCCTGACCCCAGGGAGAGGAACACCCCCGGGAGATGGCTTGAGCCAAAGGCTACAGAGACTGGTGGGGATTTTTTTTTTGGGTCGCGGCCGCCAGCGAAGAGCGCAGGCGGCGAACAGGGTGTCCGGGCCGACGGGCCAACCTTATTAGCTACTGGGCGCAGCACGAGTCGGCCGGGCCAGCTCACAAAGGCGGTACTGGTGGGGATCCGCGAAGCGTCAAGAATTTCCAATTGTTTGTTTGGCAGCGTTTGCTGGCTCGCGTTGCGCTGGTCGGCCCGTCGGCGAAAACGCGAAAACGACCAAGTCCGAGAGACGGCAAAGAGAGAGAGAGAGAGAGAAGGAGAGAGAGAGAGAAACAGAGAGAGAGAGAGAGAGAGAGCTTGCACTGCCGACGCTATTCCCCTTTGCACAGGCCGATCTTATGTCAGAGGCTGGCGTATGGCTGCGGCACGCACTCACACTGGTGAGATAACGGGGGGGAGCCGCCTGCGATATCGATGCTCAACCAACTACCCTAGGCGAAACCCTGTACCCTCTGTCATTTCGCGACCCCCGCTTGCCAGGGGGGCGAGAGAGCGCGTGAGATGATCGCCACAACCCCTCCTCAGCGCCCTTCGCCAGAGTCCCGCTTCAGGGGGGGAGACCCTGAAAGCTCGCCCGTGCGCTGTCCGTCCTCTCCGAGCTTCCCCGCAGGCACTGGAGATTCTCAAGATTGCCAGATAGTCCCGAGGCCGCCCAACATGTCCCAAGATATGTCACGATTGCCTCCACGCTGGCCCTCCTCTGGCCCTGAAACCCGACTGAGTCAAAGATGACCCCACGGATTGCATCCCCCCCACAAAACAAAAAAAAAATTGGCATCCTGTTGGGGCGACCCTCCGTGGGAGCCTCCCTCAGTCGGCCAAGTCCGGCTCAGAACCGCTCCAACACGGACTCCAGGAACCCGAATATGCCTCTGATGCTCTCACATCCCAGCCCATGTCACCTGCAAGGACGGCACATCCAGAAGGCTCCACATAGGCCCCCCAAAAGCCCGGGAGAGCCCCACGAACCCTCCAATACAGTTCCAACATGTAGTCCAGGCCGCCCAACATTGCCCTCTGGTAAACAAGACAGTTGGACAATACTGGTCCCTCGTATGTCTTTCTGGGACAGGCGGAAAAACGCAAGCCTCTAGAATCCGCCCGCCCACCAAGCTGAGGGGCGTGTGAATCGTAACTTCGAGAACTCCATTCAAGGTTTTAGCCACCCCTCTCGTTCCCCCCAAAAAACTTCCTAGGCTATTCGGCTGCCCGGCTGTGCACCATCCTTTGCCTAGAACCCAAGTCGGTCACAAAACGGCGCCCAAGACGATGTCGAACTGCACTTCATCCCCAACACCCTTGCAGACTCGACCCACACTCCATAAACTTGATCATCCCTTGAAACTGCCTTCTCGGCCCACCTTCGCCAAAAAAATACGACGGTTCGAAAACACTGCATGACCATATAGACGTTGTTGGATTTCGCCTGGCTGGGGGTCGCCTGCTAGCCTCTTGGACCAAACGGTCAAGCCCGTTTGTGATAACTTAAACGTGGACTTGACCGTCGATCCGCTACACAGCATGCCTGAATCACATTGGCGACGGAATGGAGAACCATGGATCATAGGAACAGATGCCAAACACATGTGCGGGACCGTCTTTCGCTGCGTTCGGCATATCTCCATCACCTCTTGGGGCCATCTTCGGCTCGTCTGGTGAGAATCTGAATGAGACGTCGGATGACGCACAGCGTCTTGATTGCAGAGGCTCGGACGATGTGTCCACTAACTTTCGGCTGGAGCCTGGTGCGAAATCAGTTTCAAAGATGAGCACTCAGACCACATTGCGTGAGGCCTGCCATGCTTTTGTTCTATGACCTTGGAGGGCTGCCAGTGGCGCGTGAGGTCGCGTGGAACCCGCCGAGCCCGCGCGTCCTGGAGAGACACGGGCCGCGAGCGAGACAGGGAGGCCGACGTTGATTCCAAGAGCCAGGCAAAACTTGTGCGACCATCTTCGTTACGCAAGAAAGATTGCAAATCCCGCCGGACGGAAAGAGCGGGAAACTTCCTCGAGGTGGGGGCCGCCAGACTGCGTACTGCTAGTCGGCGAAGGCGGTATCTGCCAGCACCAGCTGTGGTAGAATGATCGACCTCTGGCGAAGGCTGGCGCAAACTTGTGCGCGCGCGCATGGGTCGGGCGCCGTGGACCGCAACCCGCTGCCTACGCCGCCAAGTCATGTTCCATAGCGTTGCTAGCGCCGCTACTAGCGCCATCACTTTAGCAAACTTTACCGCGAGGAAGCAGCGAGAGAGAGAGAGACAGACAGACAGACAGACAGACAGACAGACAGACAGACAGACAGACAGACAGGCAGACAGACTGAAAGACAGACATAGCTGAACACACACACACACACACACACGCACACACACACACACGCACACACACACACACTCACACACACATAGGCACATACATATGTTTTGGTGTCGCGGCCCCGCGCGCAGTGACAGGACGCCCAAGACCGGAGAAGCGAACACGCGCGCGCGACTAACGGCCGAGCCCTCAAGCCGCTCAGAACGAGTAGCGTTGCGGCCAGCTGAGCATGGATGGCCAGGGGGGCAGACGAGGTAAGTAAGTACTTGCCAACTGGCAAGGAAACGACATGCAAGAAGGGCAAGGGGGGGCTCATTAAAAACTACAGTGGTACCACGGCCAGACGACTGGCAACTCCGCTGCCTCAAAGGTTCCCATGCGGGGCGGGGCCAACGTCGGAGGGGTGCTCATCCGCGTAGGCTGACTGAGTGCGGAAATCCAAGAACTGTTCCAAGTCAGCCAGGGAGTAAAGTGAGGGCGAAAGCAGATTAATGGCTGGGATACGCTGTCCAGTCCTGAGGCGGGGAAACGTCCACAGCCTCCACCCCGACACAATCTCTCGGTCTGATGCGGTATTGCCCTGGCATTGCAGGGAAACCTGAACGACAAGCACGGGAAGCGTCGCTTTTGTCCACTAGGCCACTCGGTGTGTGAAATATGCTCTGGTGTGTTTGTCAGTCGCGCAAATTTGTCGTGGCGTGCGTGCGTTTGCGCGTGCGCGTGCGTGGAATATGTGCATGTGCGTCCGTGCGAGGTGGTCTGCAACACTGCTCTTTCATGCCGTCCGTGCTCATGCGGTCTGCGTGAACGTATGTTGCCTGTGCGTGTGTGTGTGCGCGAGCGTGTGCGTGTATGTGCGTGCGCCTGTGATCGTGTGCCTGTGTGTGTGCGGGGGTGTGCAGCTGTGTGCATGCGTGCGCGGGTGTGTGCAGGGTGTGTGCTGGGCGAGTGGAACGGGGCGGGGCGCGAGACATGGCCGTTCGAATCGTAGCGGCGTGGTCGTTTGAACTGGGCGTGGCGGGCTGAACCGAGGCTGAGACCAACCGGCAGATTACAGGACCATGGCAGACAACAACGGCACGACAGACCAGCACAGAAGGACGGCAGACCAACACGGCGGGCCACAACAACATGGCAGACTACAACAGCAGGGCCGACCGGCATGGCAAACCAGCACGGCAAACCACAGAGTATAGCAGACCACAGCAGCACGGCAGACCAGCACGGCAGGTCACAGGAGCATAGCGAACCACAGCAGCACGGCAGACCAGCATGGCAGACCAGCATGGCAGACCCGCACGGCAGACCAGCAAGGCAGACTACAGGAGCAGAGTAAAGTCAGCAGCGCGGCAGATCCGTAGCAATTTTGGCTCAAGGCCATGGAGCACCCGACGACCGCGAGTCGTCTGCGGCGTTCCGAGCGCGAGGGGCTCCTCGCTTTGGGCCAGGAAAGTTGCGTTCTTCTCTCTTGGCCCCCGAGGCTTCGTGGCGGTGGACCTCGCTCTGCGCGGCACGTGCCATGCCACGCTCCTCGAGCGGCGGCGCTGGCGGGGTGTCCTGGCTGGCGCCACTGCGCGGCAGCAGGATGTACTGGGTGTGTGGCTGCGGGGGCTGGAACTGGGACTGGCGCCCCACCTGCCCGGGGTGTGGGCACGCCGCTCCGCCCTGGGCCAAAGGTGCGGCGCGGGCCCCGCCCAAGGCCGGCGGCGAGGGCTGGGTCGACCAGCCGCGCGGGCGCCGCGCCCAGCGGCAGGCGCGGGGCGCGGCCAGGGCTGCGTCGGCCAAGTCGCAGACGTCCGCCGCCAGCGGTGCGCCTTCCAGCGGCGGCGGCGCCACCGCGATCGAGCGGCTGCAGGTGGCGGTCGAGCAGCTCGAGGGGCTCCTGGCGGCGCCGCCAGACGGGGGTGGACGGCTGCTTCACCGACGTCGCGGCCAGCCAGCACGAGGCCAATCGGAGCCAGCTGGCCCAGGCGGAGCGGGAGGCGGCCGAGCAGAAGGCTTCGGCGCTCCCGCGGTCCGCGCAGCTGCACAAGGAGGCCAACGCCATCAGCAAGGCCGAGAAGCGGACGCGGGCAGCCCGCAAGACCCTGGAGGAGAAGCGGGCGGCCCGCGAGCTCGCCGAGGCCCAGCCCCAGAAGGCGCAGGAGGAGTTGGCCACTCTCGAAGGCGAGGTGGAGGAGGCTGCCCGCGCCCCCCAGGCCCTGGAGGACGCCGCTCGCGACGACGAGGAAGCTCAGAAGCGGCAGCGGGCCTCCCAGTGGGCCACGTCCAGCCAGATCCCTGGGCTGCTCACGCAGCTCGAGAAGTCGCCCGTTGCCTGGCGGAGCAACAACTTCGAGGTTGCATGGGCGGCGATCTGCGCCCAGATGGCCGCGGTCCGCTCGCAGCTGGAGGGCACCCCTGAGCGGCCTCGGCGCGAGCGGGGTGGAGAGCTGCCCCATGGAGGACCTCATCAGCAGCGGCGGCGAGGGCGGCGGCGAGGGCGACGACAAGCCTGGCGCCAGCGGCAGCGTCTGGGGGCCGCGGCCCGCGGCCGAGCGCGGCCAGGGGGAGCGTCGCGGTGATGCGCAGGGCGACTGGCCGCACGTCACCGAGGCCTGCAGACGCGAGCTGGCTGCCGAGGCTGCTGGCCCGGCTCCTCTTGTGGCTCCTGTTGGGGCCCGCAGCGCTGGCAGCCGAGGCGGCGGGCCCCCGCCTGGGCAACCACGAGTTAAGCCCCGCCGCCGACGCCGCCCGCATCGGCGGCGGCAAGGCGCGGCTCCCACCGGTGCCAGGAGAGGCAGCCGCAACCACGCAGCAGGTCCGCGGCGGCCTGGAGGTCCTGGGGATCAACGGCAACACGTGGCGCCGCGGCATGGAGGTCCTCGAGGCTTTCGTCAGCCGCAAGAGCTCGCGGCCCCACCTGGCGATGCTCCAGGAGACCCGCCTGGCCCCGCACCAGCTGCAGTCGGCGTACGGCAGGGCCAAGGGCTTGGGCTATGCGGCCTTCCTCCACGCCTCGGCGGCGACTGACAAGGAGGGGCCGCTGCCGCACTCTGGAGGAGTCGGCATCCTAGTCCGCGACGACCTTCAAGGTGGCAAGGTGGACTGGCAAGCCCCTGGCGACCTCCGACACCGCATCATCGGGGTCACGGTCGCGGCCGCCTCGGGGCTAGAGCTGCTGGCGCGCTCCCTCTACTAGCAGGACGGGCTGGGCCCCAAGGGCGTCAACCTGGGCATCTTCGCTGCCCTCGGTGACATGGTGCTCACCGCGGGGCTGCCCTGGCTGGCGCAAGGGGGCTTCAACGTGGAGCCTGGCACCCTGCACGAGCTCGGCTGGCCCAATGTTCAGCGCGGGGCGTACCTTGGCCCGTCGGAGGCCACGTGCAGGGCGCAAGGAGCTGAGCATGTGTACGACCGGTTTGCGAGCTCATACTGCCTCGCCCACGGGGTCGTTGAGACAGCCGCGCTGGATGGCTACGCGCTCTTCCCCAACAAGCCAGTGCGCTTGCTGCTGCAGGACGTCAGGCCCTACGCGCTGGTGCAAGTGCTCGTCCGCCCTGGGCGCTTCCCCGACGTCGACGCCGACGACTGCTGCGAGCGCGAGGACGCCCTGGTCCAGGTGCACCGCCGTGTCGGGCGCGCCAGGTGGAAGGCGCTGCCCTGCAGCTGGAGCTGGAAGGTGGGCCCCCTCCCGCCCGACCTGCCTACGGCGGCTCGCCAGTGGACGGAGGCGGTGGAGAGCGCGCTGGCAAGGATCCACGGGATCCAAATTGAGGACTTGGAGCGCTACTTTGGCAGAGCGGAGGGGCCCAGTCGTGTCCTCAAGCCCCTCAGCGCCGTGGTGAAGCGCGAGCACCGCCTTCGGCACTCGGCGCTAACGCACAGCATCCGCCAGGCGTTGGACCTGGCGCTGCAGCGACTGACGGCCGACCGGGCGCAGAGATGGCACCCCTCCCACGAGTGCTGGTACGTCCTCCAGGCCGAGCGCGCGGCGCGCCTCCTCGAGGAGACCGCCGCCGCAGCCTGCCAGGAGGATGAGGTCGAGACCCTCAGCTTCGACACCAGCGAGTGGAGCGACCTTGTCAGCCAGGCGGGAGTACGCAGCATCTTTGTTGTTGTCAAGGGGGCTCGCTGTGGGTCCATCGGAGTTGGGGTCAAGCCATGCCGATGGGACGCCTGGGATGTCCGGGGTGGGGGGCCTCCCCTGCTGCTGCCGGCGGCGGGAGCAGCAGAGGGTTGAGCGGCACTGGAGGCCGCGGCACCCGTGGGAGAAGGGGAACGGGAAGGTGAGGGCAGGGAGGACGCAACAGACGAGGCAAATGGTGGGGTTCGCATAGCAGGTGCTGCAGGCGGATGGAGGAAGACGAGCTGGGGGCGCGGACCCTGGGCTCGCACTAGAGGGGCGGCGGTCAAGTCATCCCGGCCCGCCACGTGCAGGTGGGCACGAGGTGCGCCAGCCGTCGGACGGGGCCCTGGAGGCACCCACGATTGCAGGGCGAGCGGAGGCATAGCGGCCGGCAGGCGGCGTCGCCGGTGGGGGTCGCTGAAGCGTGTGGGTCAGGCAATCTGAAAGAGACAAAGAAAAAGCCGACGGGGACGCGCGGTCGGCTGCGCACCCGCCCCGGTCTGTGGACAGCTTTAACGGGCGTGGAGTCCGGGGATCTGGCGTGCAGGGAAGCAAAGCGATGCGCCGCGCGAATGCTTCCAACAAGAGTGCGGAACCGAGCCGCGGCGGGGTTGCCCAATGTCGCAGACCTGCCACGGGTGGCTGACGAAGAGGCAGAAGGGAGGG